ACATGTTGTGACACGCAGCTCTAAAACACAAATCCCCTTTAAAGCTCGAACTAATTTTAGTGAATTGGTACTACCCTATAAACTTTTACTTGGAAGTGCTAGATAGATGTTATTGGTCATATTTCAATAAATTATTTATAGGTGTCAGGATCCTGCACATTTTTTCCATGAACTATCATTTCTTTTGCTGTATTTAGGCTTCTAGCATTGAGCACATGGTTATAACCACAAAAAAAATTTACCTCAACATTAATGCAATTTGACTGGAAACAATGTCTGGTCTGGTATAATTACATGAATCCAAAAAAGGGAATCTATATAGGGAAACATAGATACGTACATTTTCAAAAGATGTTTTTATAAATACATCAACACAAAAAGAAGGACTAAGGAGAATCTCCATCCTTTACTGGATGCGGGTGGAAACTTAGCTACAAGAGATGAGGAAAAGGAGGAGGTGCTTAATGCCTTCTTCGCCTCAGTTGCTAGCATCAAAACCAGTTGCTGTCTGGATACCCCATATCCCATACCCTGAGCTGGTGGAAGGGGACAGGGAGCAGAATGTGGCCCTCACAATCCACGAGGAAATGGTTGGTGACCTGCTACAGCACTTAGATGTACGCAATTCGATGCGGCCAAATGGGATCCACCCGAGGGTACCGAGAGAACTGCAGAGGAGCTGGCCAAGCCGCTTACCATCGTTTATTAACAGTCCTGGCTATCGGGGGAGGTCCCAGTTGACTGGAGGCTAGCAAACGTGACGCCCATCTACAAGAAGGGCCGGAGGACTGACCCGGGAAACTACAGGCCTGTCAGTTTGACCTCAGTGCCAGGGAAGCTCATGGAGCAGATTATCTTGAGAGTCATCACGCAGCACTTGCAGGGCAAGCAGGTGATCAGGCCCAGTCAGCATGGGTTTATGAAAGGCAGGTCCTGCTTGACGAACCTGATCTCCTATGATAAAGTGACGTGCTTGGTGGATGAGGGAAAGGCTGTGGATGTGGTCTATCTTGACTTCAGCAAGGCATTTGACACCGTCTCCCACAGAATTCTCCTCAAGAAACTGGCTGCTCTTGGCTTGGACTGGCGCACGCTTCGTTGGGTTAGAAACTGGCTGGATAGCCGGGCCCAAAGAGTTGTGGTAAATGGATTCAAGTCCAGTTGGAGGCCAGTCACTAGTGGCGTTCCCCAGGGCTCGGTGCTGGGGCCGGTCCTCTTTAATATCTTCATCGATGATCTGGACAAGGGCATTGAGTGCACCCTCAGTAAGTTTGCAGATGACACCAAGCTAGGTGCGTGTGTTGATCTGCTTGAGGGTAGGAATGCTCTGCAGGAGGATCTGGATAGGCTGGACCGATGGGCTGAGGTCAACTGCATGAAGTTCAACAAGGCCAAGTGCTGGGTCCTGCACCTGGGGCGCAATAACCCCAACCACTGGGTGATGAGTGGTTGGAGAGCTGCCTGGCAGAGAAGGACCTGGCAGTGATGTTTGATAGTCAGCTGAATATGAGCCAGCAGTGTGCTCAGGTGGCCAAGAAGGCCAACGGCATCCTGGCTTGCATAAGAAACAGTGTGGCCAGCAGGGCTAGGGAGGTGATCGTCCCCCTGTACTCGGCTCTGGTGAGGCCGCACCTCGAGTACTGTGTTCAGTTTTGGGCCCCTCGCTACAAGAAGGACATCGAGGTGCTTGAGCGAGTCCAGAGAAGGGCGATGAAGCTGATGAGGGGCCTGGAGAACAAGTCCTACGAGGAGTGGCTGAGGGAGCTGGGCTTGTTCAGCCTGGAGAAAAGGAGGCTCAGGGGCGACCTTATCGCTCTCTACAGCTACCTTAAAGGAGGCTGTAGCGAGGTGGGAGTTGGTCTTTTCTCCCATGTGCCTGGTGACAGGACGAGGGGGAATGGGCTTAAGTTGCGTCAGGGGAGTTTTAGGTTGGATGTTAGGAAGAACTTTTTACTGAAACGATTGTTAGACATTGGAACAGGCTGCCCACGGAAGTGGTGGAGTCACCATCCCTGGAAGTCTTTGAAAGACGTTTAGATGTAGAGCTTAGGGATATGGTTTAGTGGGGACTGTTAGTGTTAGGTCAGAGGTTGGACTCGATGATCTTGAGGTCTCTTCCAACCTAGAAATTCTGTGATTCTGTGATAAAACTGAAGTGTTTTGTGCCAAAGTCACCATCTTTTTGGCAAGAAATAAAAACATTGCTGCCTTAGTAGCATCACTAGTCTTTCAAGTGCTGTCCTATTCTGCTTCCTGAAATTTATTAACTATTTTGATAAGTCAGGAGCTTCCCCCTCCAGTTTTTAAGCCTCTCATGTTCTTTTACTTTTAGAGCTTGCTTTCATCTTTGTGGATAATGGCAGTTATTCACATTCAGGTAGGCCTGAATTGCAATATGTAGATAGTCTTTTGTATGGCTCGATCCCTTATGTAGGCTGCAAACAGATTCTAAAATAGACCAAAGTTAATACCTTAAACTTTGCTTCTAAACAAGTCTGCTATATAGCAGTTACTGGAAAGTCCTGACAAGTCCAGATTTGGTCAGCAGATACTTATCCAAAGCATTTATGATATGAGATTTGCCATAAGCCAGATGCTACTTAATTAAGTTCAGTCCTTTCATTTTGGACTGATCTAAACAGGCTTGTTTTCCTGACTTAAATTTACACAGTCAAGTTTATCTTCCTCATAATTCTCTCACATTGAAGAGTGTCATGTAATCGCCAATGCTCTCTTTGCTTCCCTCTACCTGCTCTCCCCCCCCCTCCAGATACAAATGGAATGAAATACTACTTTTGAGGCTCTTCAGATTTTATTTTATTTTTTAACTGAAAAAAGACAACACTGATGGTGGTTAGTTAATTAAAATGTTCTGCTGCATGTGAGCTAATTAATGTCGGTCTTACATCTTCTGGGTTACATGCATATGGTACCAGTCCTGAAACTTTACCTTCCTGAGGTTTCTTCTTTTCTGTTTGATTTTGTAGACAAGGACTTGATAGTTGCTGATTCAAGACAGCCGAGGTGCCTTTTCTGCCCTTGTCTGTGGCTCAAAGATCTTATCCAAATCCCACTGATGTTACCAGAAAGGTTTCCTTTCGCTTCGTGAGTCCTGAGGAGCATATCTGTAACATGGGTAAACAGCTAAGATGTATACAGCAACAGCTCACAGATAGGGATAGTGGAAACTAACATGGGAGAGATGTTAGCGGTGTGATTGGTTGGTGTGATTCGTGCTATCAGCTGTTATTTCAGCAACAGTAAGTGGCAGATCAAATTCTCAGTGGAATTTTCCTTTCTCCTTTCAGGCAGTGTTTGCAGCATGTGTGTTCTCCCTCTGAAGGGGATGATTCAATTAATACAAGTCACAGTTGTTAGCAAGAAAATTGTGATTATTTTTGTCAAATCTTATGCTATATCATATCCAGTGCTTCTATTAAAAGGGGGTAGAAAAAAATGTTGTGTAAGACTTCTCTCCCCTTTCTTCCTGAAGAAATTCATGGGCAGTTACAAGAACTCTTTCCTTGTTCTTCCTTTGCTTATATCTACGTACTGGAGTACTCACAGATGCTAATTGGTCTTTACAACAGAGCTGAAAGTAGGAAAAAATATTTTGTTCACTTCTAAAACATAGCAAATTCTGAGCAGAAAATGAGTTGTTTTAAAGCTAGTTGTAATGCTGTGAAATAATCTGAGGGAGGAAATTGCACATATGACTACCAAAACTTTGGAGAAAATTGGGAAGGAAAGCAGTAATTAATAGGAAAAAATTGCTTGGAGCCTGGGGTTAACAAATGTAAATTTATGAGATTAAGTACCAGGAGTTTCAGAGTGACTGTCTGCAGAACTGCCCTTCAAAAATATTCCTCTCACCAAGAACAGTTATTATATGTTAACAAATTGTTTCATAAATTGACTCTGAAATGTAATTATAAATACGGTATCTGGCACCAGTGACTCAATGTTGCCTCGTAGCACTTTAGAAAGCAAACAACTATTGCATTCAGAAACAGAAGCAAGATTAAGCTATGCTGTTTGTACAAAGTCAAACGATTATAAATGTTCTGTTGGCTTAAGGCAAAATCCTTCTTTTCTATCACTGCAGCGTGCTAGTGGCTGATCAAAAAGTGCAGGAGCAGAGGGTGTTTTCTGAGGGTGGGGGTTAAATATTACACATTACACACTTTAATGCTAATCCTAAAAGAAGCAATTAATGCACCGTCTGTTTCCACCTCAGCATCTGCTCTCTCTATTAGTTAGGGGACTCAGCTGAGGTGATGAGAGCATGAAAAAGTGCATTAGCTCACACCTCCCTGCAGCAGGGAACGTGTGGTGAACTGGGCCCCAGTTGGGGCCCTGCTTCGTTTATGCTCTGCTCTACTGCCTGCTATCGATGGAGGGGTTGGTTTTAATTTCTGTAAGCTGTGGGCCAGGTCTGCAGTGTTTAAAACAATATTAGTTGATTTTTCTGTTCATTTTTAATACATTGAAATAGATTAAAATTATCTTCTCTGCAAATTAAATGTTGTTTCCAAAAGGTCCTAATCCTAGCTGGAAGCTTTCTGGAATAACAATATTGAATGAATGTTAATGGCACTTGAAATCCATGCAATTAATATATTTAAAGACCTACCATGATAGATATTGTCCATAAAGTCTGAAGTTGTGGGATGATTATATACACTTTAGTCCGTGTTTAACTGCATACATTTTAATAAGATTTCAAATTTTTGTTTTGTGTTTTTATTACAAATAACAATAACACAACAATTATGGCCAAAAGGGATTTATAAACATAAAAAACCCACACATAATATTCACAATGTGCAGTAACGCTTATTATGCTAATGACAGTGGTCCCTTTTGAGGCATGCATTGGTGTAAAATAATTAATTTTGATGCCTGCAGCTTAAGATGGTGTAACTTGCTTCCGCTGATTTTCTTATTGTAGAGCTCACAAGGGTGAAAACTGGTGCTTAAGTACATGTTGTTATTGTCATCAGTCTTAATGTAACTTCAGAAGCCCTACCTCCCTTTGGGAAATCAGAGCATAGTTTTATTCAAGGTTAGTATGGATATTCCTAGCTGAAAAGAAATTCTCTAAAGCATATAGGAATATAGAAGTTTGGATCAAGTTTGCTAGGTTATGTTTGTATTTTCAACTGCATAACTAACTGTCTTCTTCCCCAAATCAGGGCAAACATATTACATTTGGTTAACTGTTGCACATTTGCTCAAAAAAAAACACTAAGTTGATCTTGGAAGAGTATTACCAATTTAAAAATATCTTCAAGGCACCTGCAGTGATTGTGATTGATGGGGATGGCAGATGATTAAAAATATTTGAATATTGGAAGCAGCTTTGCAATAGTGACAGCCCATGTGGGGTTAATGAGGTGCCCCGATTGCTGTGAACTTCTTCTTGCCCCACCTGTGAAAAATGCCCAGTGGTGAAGAGGGAGGCTGAAGGGGAGTGAGGTGATATAATCTGGTCAGGTAGGTTTTCTGTTGGTTTATTTATTTATTATCATCATGATTTGCTTGCTTTTTAATGACTTGTGGTTTGTTACTAAACTGGGAGGCTATAATCATGGCTGGGTGCAGCTCCAGTATCAAGCACCTTGTGACCTGGGCTGTCTGTATGTTGTGTACTGAGCTAGATCAGGTAGTAACTGATGATGTGCTGAGAACATTAAAATTAAAGCAGTTGGCAGAAACACTGATCTTGATTAACCACTGTGTGTTTGTCTTTGTTAAGTCCGCTTCACGGCCCTGTAACCTCTAACCAGAAATTCTTCAGTGGCAACCTGTTGTCTTAAGACCTTTAAAACTGCTGAGAAAGGGCTCTAACCCTTACTAGTAAGGCAAAGTTGTCCAATGTGATTAGCCTTGCCCTGGAGAGCTCACTCTTATTTCAGTTTGTAAGGAAGAGAAAACAAAACAAAAAAAAAACAAAACAACAAAAAACCAACACAGAATTTAATGTTGGCGGGGAGAGATCAAAAACAAGGGAGGTAGAAATGAACTGAAAGAAATTTAGCTATTTATAAGAATGGATTTAAAGGAGACTATGGTGGGCACATATCTATACTTGTAAAATGTAGTTTCTCTCAGAAAACCGTATTGCTTGTACATTTTACTAGTAGTAAGGAGATATGCACCATGCTTTTTCCATAATTTAATTTGGCTCATCTGTGAAGATGAGTTGCTATCCTGAATCAGTCTTTGAGTCTAGAGAACTCGAGTTTAGGGAACTTAACTTAATTCTTTTTCTCAGAATGTGTACTTTATTTTACAGCTCTGTACAGTGTGAAGCTTGAACTGAATAAGTGAACTGAATAAGATCTGGAGGGTTAAATGCATGTATGCGATCACAGATGTTTTTAGCTTTATTTTTATTTACAGTCCTTTTCACTTCCTTTCCAGTTATGAAGGAAAGATTTGTAGAGGAGCAATTGTATTGGAAAACCTGAGTCTTGTTTACCCAGATAAGTAAAATTGCAAGTCCAGATACAATTAATGAGTCGTAAAAGTTCAGATTATTACTGAAAACATCTCAGGAGGAAAAACTAAGAATTTAAAGGCAGGTTGTTGGTCTTTGTTTCTAACTTTGATGTCAGATTTAGGTAAATCCCAAGTAAGATCTTCTGCATTTTTTGAGGTATTTTGTTTTTCTGTATGTATTGAGGGTTAGGGACCATGTGGTAGTGAGCCGTGCTTGCTCTTTTAAGCTAGTGCTCTGCATCAGGACCTCACATCATTGCTGTCTCCTGGAATTGGCAGAGTTGATGTCACACAGTAGCTAACCTTAACTTGGAATGAAGCTGTTGATTTCTCATTGCTGCAGGCTTATTTGTGCTCATGAAAAGCTGTTAAGTGCAAATGCTTCTGTTGCACTCTAGGGTAAAATTTTAAGGCTTTTATCTAAGAATTACATCTTGTAAGCAGTGCTAGGCAAAGCAAGAGAGTCAGCCCTCTTGGAGGACCACAAGCCCTTGAAGCTGCTAATGGTGAAATGATACTCTTTTCTTAACAACGTTAAACATTAATAGAGAAATGCTATTGAAATGTCAGTTAAAGCTTATTTGTTATTGCTTAGTGTAAAGTCAATGTCTTTGTTAGTGACTTAAAAGAACAATGAGGGACTGAAGCTGCCAGCTTTGACTATTCCTCCCAGAAATCAAAGCTTTAGATTAAACAATGCAAAAAGACCCTTTCACTGACACTCTAATAAAAAGAAATGCTACTTTGTTAACACTGTCAAGTTCTTTCTCTGTTACAGACACACAGTTGATTTTGGGTGAGCAGCTTTTTATCTAATGTTTCTCATCAGTGAGGACAGTGTAAAACTGAATACAGTGCCCATATGGCTATTTCTTCTAAAGCACGTATATAAATGTTCTGTGAACAAAATGAAGTAAAAGGTCTGGCACTTCTCTTGTCTTCTCCTTTTTTTTTTTTTTATATGCAGGAGGGGGAGAGATGGGGTGTGTTTCCATTTTAATTTACTAGAATGGTGACAGCATGAAAATAATCATAGAATCATAGAATATCGTGAGTTGGAAGGGACCCTTAAGGATCATCAAGTCCAACTCTTGACACCGCACAGGTCTACCCAAAAGTTCAGACCATGTGACTAAGTGCACAGTCCAATCTCTTCTTAAATTCAGACAGGCTCGGTGCAGTGACCACTTCCCTGGGGAGCCTGTTCCAGTGTGCAACCACCCTCTCTGTGAAGAACCCCCTCCTGATGTCAAGCCTAAATTTCCCCTGCCTCAGCTTAACCCCGTTCCCGCGGGTCCTGTCGCTGGTGTTAATGGAGAAAAGGTCTCCTGCCTCTCGACACCCCCTTATGAGGAAGTTGTAGACTGATAATAACTAATTCATCCTTTAGATGAAATCGGAAGAGTTGCACATGTGGGATATTTAATGAAAGTCCTATCCTAGGATGACTGCCAGTGTTTCTGTATGCTCAGAGATGCTGTTGGAATGAAATTTCTTGAGATATACCATTTGCTTGAGGCAAAAATCCTTGTTTGACAGCCTTGTCTTATAGATAGTATTTCTGCTGATTCTTGTACAGCGGTGTCAGAAGTTTGCCCAGGCTAACCTTATTTTGTCCAACTAACTGTGCTTTAATTTTAATTTCTCTGAATTGTTGTTTTGCACTGGTATAAACTTTAAAAAACAAAAACAAAACAAACAAACAAAAAAACAGCACAAGGAATCCATACTCCAGACAGTGTACATCTGTCCATAGCAAAAGTTCTGGTGTTTTCAATCTTGGGAGGATAAAACACCCAGAAAAATGTTTGTGAAAATCATACGCTCCCCTGTGAATTTTCACTCAGACAAGATGTGTCAGCAAAGAAGCAGCTTATTTAATCACTTCTTGGTCCTGTTGTTGGGTTGTGGCTTTCTGTTAAACCTTGGTGCTAAAAGATGGAAAGATTTGATACTTGACAAGTGTGATTTTTTTATTTTTTTAACATCTTTTCTACTTTATCCTCCTGTGTCCTTGCAGGAGTTTGCTGTTTCAGGTATTAGAATGATGCTCTCCATAGTCTGAGAAAATCACTTTCCATGGGTATGCTACATGTTTTTGGAGAGCAAATTTGCTTACAACGGTCTTTCTGAAAAGTAGGTTTACATGCAGTAATGTCTGCAGTCATGGGAAAGCACAAAGCAGTGAGAGAAATGCCAGTTACTTGAAATTATTTGTTTCTATTTTGGACAAAGTTAACTTTGTGTTCTAACTCAGTGTTAACAAAATGCTCATCTGTTTTACTTAATGGTTTGAAGAAATGCGTTTTGCTTGTAAGCAGCAAGTTGGTGTGCAGCCTTGCCATATCTTTTTTATATGTGAAAGCAGTGCTTGTCGGTTTATTTTACAGCAAGCAATGCGAAAACTCCTCATCAGTCTCCTTGTTTCTGAGTATATCTCTTAGCTTACATGTGAGTACTTCACTCTTTTTAAATAGTATCTGGTTTTAATTATGAAGTTTATTGCATAATAAGCAGCAGATTTCTCATATTCACAGCTGTTTAGTCAAAACACATGTTGCATTAAGTATCCTTTTACTGTGCTAGTTAACATATGCAGCAGTCATAGCCACGGCATCAGAGACATGCTTGCTGAGAAGGTCTGTGGTAACACCAGTAAGAGTTGAATGCAAAATAAGAGATCCAGTGGGACTAGTTCCACTTTGAGAAATGCTAGCAATCTGAAATGACTAATACTGATAAATGAGAGCTTGGCTAAAGATTAGAAATATATAAGCAGTATTTACTTTGTTCCATTCTTCAGCCTCCAAAAATTCACACTTGACCTTAGTAGCTGAATGGGTGTGGTTCTTTACAGTGAACTGTCTCCTGTGCAGAATGTGGCTTTGTATGTGCTGTAAAATCGAATCGCTCATGTGGAAAATGACTGGTCACAGCCTATTGCTAGATCTTATGTCGGCCTTTGCTCTGATCCTGAGTCCTAATGGAATGATTGTATTGTTGACAGGCAAAACTATTTTTCACTTACAGAATTGAGTTTTTAGAAGACACCCTTTTACCATGCTCTCCTGAAAATCTGTTCCATGTGTAGTTGCCAGATATTCTGTCTTTTTGCAGTCTCTTGCACAGAGAACCTCTGGCTTCTCTCTTCTGAATGTTCTTTTTCATTCGTGTTCCTTGTCTACTGTGCTTGAGCATTAACCTTGGATACATACATATCTATTTGTTTAATCATTTTTGCATCTGCCATAACATATCATTTATCTACTTTCTGTCTTCCTCGTGATGCTATCCTGCTTTGGTGCTGTTCTTCTATCTGTTTCTAAATATTTCTTTTTGTTACGGTAAAATATAGCTGTATCTGTTGGTGAGGACTGTGCAATGTGTATAGTTCTCAATGAAGATCCTGATCTGAAACACACTTGATTTCTTTTGGGTCATATTTGCTTTTTGGAATTAGCTTTCAGAGAATCATAATGTTCAATGTGAATTTCCTGGAGAGCAGCAAATACCTGCCTGGCCAAATCTTTCCACATCCTGTGTGCTAAATAATTTTATCGTTGGTTTTATTAGCCCATGCATGTTTTGCTGCACTGGCTGAAAGACAGTTGCCCTGAAGTATAAATGATCTGAATATGACACTTAATGCATACGTAAGTAGTGTTGATGAATACTGATTTTACTAGATATTAGCTTTAACAATGGTTAAAATATGGCAAAGTGAATCAGGTTCTATTCTGGGCAATTTGCTTATAAGATTATATTTGCTTTAAAAAGTTTTTTTTAAAAAACCCTCATAAGCAAGTTAGCCTTTCAGCCTTCTCTGAATCCATCCTTTTTCCCATGCATGCCCTGAAGAGCATGTACCAGAGAGAACTCACTTATCCTGTTGTCACTAATACCCATTTTTTCTTAAGAATCCATTTAATCTCCCTGAAATGCAATGACTGACTGGCAGAATATTATTTAGCTTACCTGTTGTTGAAGAAATT